GCCCTGCTTCAAGATGGCTGCGAGCTTCTTTGTAGCTTGCAGCAAGGGAGGGCCTCAAGGTCAACCTCCACACACCGTCCTGGCTGAGCTCTCAGGACGACTGAGCTTCTTAGCTCCTTTACTCCATCTAGGACTTCTAATCAGTAAGAGTCCACCACCCCGACTTAAAGAGGGGTCTCAAAGGAGTCTGGGGTCTTTTGGTTCAGTTCTTACCCCGACTCTGTAGAGTTAGTTCTGCTCTCATCTGCTGCTGTTGGCTCTCTCTTGGCTCTCTGTCTCCTTCCAGGAGTCCTCTCTGCAGTGCATGCCATTTGCTGTTTAGTTCAGTTCTTATCTGTCCTGGCTCTCTGCCACCTTCTCCAGCCAGTGTTGCTTCTGCTGCCGCTGCTGCTGCTCTGTCTCCGCTGCCCATGGTGGAGAAAACATCTCTTGGCATAACTACAGGTACCTAGCCCAGCTTTATGCTGTTCCAGGTCCCTGCAGCTCCCCCAGCCCGGGGCTGGGGGGGGCCCAGAGGCCCCAAGGGGCTCAGAGCCCCTTTCTTCATGGCAGTCAGAACATGGCTACTTCTTCAACCACCAAACTACAACTCTTCTCTTCCGTTTGGTTGTGATATGTTTATATTTTGCAGAAGCACTCATTGGACAAAACTTCAAAACTTCAAGAGTTCCCACTTTCAACTCCAGGGGGAAAACCTGGTTCCAAACTAGTACAGGGGGGGCACCACGTAAAGCATCACCAGCCAGGCGAGTGAGGGGATTGTCCCACTCTGCTCTGCACTGGAGCGGCCTCACCTTGAATATTGTGGCAGTTTTGGGCACCACATTATAAAAAGACATTAAACCATTAGAGAGGGTCCAAAGGAGGGCAATGAGGGTGGTGAAGGAACCAGAGGGGAAGCCTTATGAGGAACAGCTGAGGTCACTTGGTCTGTTGAGCCTGGAGAAGAGGAAGGAGACTGAGGGGAGACCTCATAGCAGTTACAACTTCTCATGAGGGGAAGACGAGGGACAGGCACTGACATCTTCAATCTTGTGACCAGTGACAGGACTCAAGGAAATGGCCTGAAGTTGTGTTGGGGGAGGTTTAGGCTGCATATCAGGAACAGGTTTTTCACCCAGAGGGTGGTTGGGTGCTGGAACAGGGAAGTGGTGACAGCCTGACAGAATTCCAGAAACAGTTGGACAATGCTCTCATGCACATGGTGTGATTCTCTGGGTGTCCTGCGCAGGGCAAGAAGTTGAACTCAATGATCCTGATGGGTCCCTTTCAACTCAGCCAATTCTATGATTCTGTGATTGAGATAGCCATAAAATATTTTTCACTGTAAGAGAGATAAAGTTAGATCTGAAGATCTCTGGTTCTCCCTATCATCTGCAATTGATCTTTTTACATTTATGTCAGTGGACTTTACAAATGCTTGTAGCTTGGATTACCCTAGAAATGGTGGTTTCCAAGACCTAAAGCAGATAGTAACTCAGAAATGCAGGATTTAAAATTATAATTACCTGTGAAAGTTTTTACACTGACATTGTGCATTTTATTTTCTTTTTAAAAGGAAATAAAAGTAAGTGTGAAGTAGTGTTGATTTTTATCAACAATTAAGAAGACAACTGTTCCTTTCATCATCCTAGATGTGAATGCTGATCAAACAATTAAAAAAAATCAAAGGTATTAATTTTTTCATACAATATACAATTTTTTTTTTTAAAGAAAGAGAAAAATCAATTTTAGTTTGAAAGACTCATTAAAAATGTAAGCTCAAGAGTATGGAAAACAAGATTACAACTCTTAATTTTTTTTTTCTCATATATCAGAAGAAATCAAATAAAACCAGTTTGCCTCCAGGGTTTTAAACATCACTATAATTCAACATAATAAAGAAGTTAAAATTAACAGAAAAAAAGACAAAATTAGAAACGAAAGAAAAACAGTCACTAATCCTCAACCAAAAACCTTTTCCCCTGCCATCACATAAATTTATTTAAGAAAAATGGATAAAAGTATGTCTGCTGGATATATATCAAAAACATAGGTGTCACTGGATTCAGGAAGTACAAATGTATGTTTTCTAAACAAGACACAAAGACTACAAAATATAAGAACTAAGGTATGAATATATGCTATGATTATGTTAATAGCAATACTCACACTGAAAATATCTGGCTCCGATGAAGCCTCTTTATTTATTCATCTGCAGAGGAATGAAAGTATAGTGCAGAGGTCAGTAAGGGCATCTAATCTACCCAGGCCCCCCATAAATGCTTTAATGAGTTTACTTGCATTCATTGACCTTGATCATAAACCACACTGAGAGCTTTCAATTCCTGCAGTGTGTGAAAAGCACCATACAATATTAAACCTGCTGTCTCCCATTCCCTTCGAATGTGCACTAAGCTTATGAGGAATGTTTTAGATCACAAATTAAGTCTTTTAGGAGAAAAAGGTTGCCATATCCCAGCTATGACAATGATGCTGACAATAATGGATAGTGCTGTAAAGTGGAACAAAACCAGAGTGTGCTGGTGATTTCTACAGCTGTCAGGAAAAATCCCCATCTTACTATCTTTTTACCTTGACTAACTTCAAGCGCTAAATCATCGTGTAGATATTTTAAACATTCTGCATGCTTTAAACAGACGTGGAAAAAACCACATGTAGCATGGTGGGTACTTTACATGGTAAAGAAGGATGTACGGTCTTCTGAGGTGGTGACCAAAGAGTGTTTATTTCAAATTTGGCGCTTCCCTTTATACCCTGATATCATGTGACCTTCTAACCAATAGGGTTATCCATTTAGACGCATGCTCCTTTGGGCTTCTCAGCCCCGGCACATCCCCCGTGCCTTGGACATGTCTCCTACAACCACACATGTACACTCCTGCTTGATGAAGAGTGTAAAGAGAAAGGAGTCTGACCTTAGGAGGTATTTCCACTTGCCCTTTTGCCCTTTATGCCTTGAAGAATTTTTTTCAGCTACAACAAAAACAGCATGGGTGACAGAAGTAAAAGGGGCACCAGGGTCAGTCACTGGAACTGCAGTACTCTTCCTACACCTCCTCCTCATTTTGTAGCCATGCCATATATATAAAGAAGCAACAAAAAATCCTTGAACTTAACCCCGTTGGCAGAATATAAAGATGTAGAAAGCTCTGCAGTCAGTCAATGCAAGTGCTTGTTTTGCTACCACCTCCTCACAATGTGATTGATCCTGGAAACTGTTATGCCATTAAAGACTGTGGCCAGTCTTCTCCACTCGTTTGCCTTCTTCACACCTCTCTTCCAACACGACTTTACTCCCTTTCAAGTCTTCTTGTGACAACATCTCCTTTCACTATACAGGATAGATAGCACCTGTGTGAAATTTCTTGCTTCCAAACAGTTTGGCAAAAAAGTAACCTGAGAAATTTATGAGAGAATAAACCCCCCCAGTCTATTAACACCGCGACAGCACATCAAGAAGTTAAGTTGCTGAAGACCAGAAGAGTACTTTGGGGAAGTATTTCTATTTCTGCTCCTTATACTCTTCCCTGTTCATAAGTTACTGGCTACTCTCTGAAACAGGATACTGTGTTGGATGGGGCCTTGGTTTGACTGGTGCCAGCTGCTTTTCTTTTCACTTGTGATATTTTCTATTGTTGCTTATTGTTACTGATAAAAACAGAATTAAGACGAGTGAAAACTTTAGCTGCAAACCATGCCCATAACTAATTGCTGTTCCATTTGTCTTCCATCGCTAGTAGTTTATGCATAATACTGTCATGACTTTTGCTGAGATATTAAGTGCTTCACAACTCTAAGATTTGCTTTAGTGATACATATGCCTAGCAGCTACAAGGAATCCCAATCTGATTCTCACATCCAGGTGCCGTTAAAGTAGAAACAAAATAATCCAACTGTAAAATGCTTTTTTGTTGTTGTTGTTCAGATAGATGAATGTTTAATTCTTCTGAGTCCTCCTTGAAATTGAAAATAAAACTGCAAGAAAAACAGATCACTGGTTTAGCCAGTTTCCCTCTTGAGATGGTGGGCAGGCTGTAATGGTCCTCTTTGAAACACCTTCTGTCCTTTTAGGTATTCTACTTGTTCACTGTACTTCTAACATCATTATGGTTTGTTTCACAGAATGAATGCTTGGAAAAGATCTGCAAATCAATGAAATGTCTAGGAGTATAAAAAACTGTTGCATTTCAAAAAGCCCTTATCCACCCTTTTTTTTTTTATTAAAATACAATTTTTTTTCTCCCCTTTTTTAACTTCACAAAAGTAAACTGGAAATATTTTTCTCTAATTAGCTTTTTCAAAGTCTTTTTCTTTTTATTCCAATCCACACTGCCTACAGCAAAATACTACCTTGAAGATCTGAAGAGACCAAAGAATGCATCTCAATGGATTAAGAGGCTGGGCTTTGATGGAACTGGCATAATGAATAGGTGGGTCCCTACAGTACTCATTTGCAATATGCAATATTCAATGTATTGGTGAGGTCCTGGCAACTGTTTTGCAAGAGCAGGATCTCTCAGTAAAGAAAGAAAAGAATGGCACAAATGGAACACTATGTTAGTAGTGCTCATGCTAACAGTAAAAAAAAAAAGAAAAATTCTTCTTCATATTTGCCAATCCTTGCTAAGTGGGTCAGTGTGGTTCTGTCGTAATTTCCCACTAACTTCATACTTCCCTTTTAAGTAGTGCGAAAGGAGGAAGAGTGGGTACACCCCCTGAGTGCAGAGAATCATGATTTCAAACAAAAGGAGCACTTAATAATTTCATTAACCTTTTCCCAGGCAGTTATGCATGACAAAGTGACAGGAATGTGTGGACCTCTTTCATGATAACTAGTTTATTGCAGTTAACAACTTTGAAATGTTGGAATGGACCTTCTAAAATTATTATCAGAACAATTATGTACATAAATAAAACTAATGAGAAGTGATGCTGTTCTGGACATTTCAGAGACTCATAATGATCTTTTAGAATCACCAAATCAAGTAGGCTGGAAAAGACCTGGGACCAAATATCACCTTGCCAACTAGACCATGGCACATCCAGTCTTTCCTCAAACACCTCCAGGGATGGTGACTCCACCACCTCCCTTGGCAGTCTATTCCAATATCTAATTACCCTTTCTGTGCAGAAATTTCTCCTTATGTCTTACCTAAACTTCCCCTGGCCCAGCTTGATATTATGTCCTCTTGCCCTGTCACTGGTTGCCTAGGAATAGAGACTGACCCTCACCTGGCTACAATCTCCTTTCAGGGAGTTGTTGAGAGTGATGAGGTCACCCCTGAGCCTCTTTTTCTCTGGGCTAAACAACCCCAGTTCCGTCAACCACTCCTCATAGAACTTGTGCTTCAGACCCTTCACCAGCCTTGTTGCCCTTCTCTTGTCTCACTCCAGGACTACAATGTCCTTCCTGAATTGAGGGGCCCAGAACCGGGCACAGCACTGAAGGTTTGGCCTCATCAGTGCCGAGCATAAGGGAAGAATCTCTTCCCTAGTCCTGCTGGCCATACTATTTCTAATGCAAGCCAGGATGCCCTTGGCCTTCCCGGTCACCTGGACAATGCTGGCTCATGTTCAGCCACTGTCAATTAGTACCCCCTGGGCCACTACCCAGCCTCTGTCCCCAGCCCGTAGTACTGCATGGCATTGTAGTGACAGGACCCAGCTCTTGTTCTTGTTGAGCGTCACCCAGTTGTCCTCGGCCCATGGATCGAGCCTGTCCAGACTCTTCTGCAGAACACTCCTCCCCTCCAGCACATCATCACTCCTCCCCCAACTTGGTGTCATCCCCAAACTTACTAAGACAAGACTCAATCCCCCCAACCAGATCATCAATAAAGATATTGAACAGGACTGGGCCACTATCCTCAATTCTATACCGTCAAAACACTCTCTTAATGAACAGAGAAAGCTCACCAGCTATCCTTCCTTGCCTGTCCATTTTGAAGAGTTTATAACTGTCCATTGCAGCACTTCAGTCATGCTAGTCATCCCATCCTGTTTCCATGATGGCAACTACGTCATAGCTTTCCTGCTGTACAGTGACTTCCAGCTTCTCCTGTTTCTTACCCCTGCTGTGTGCACTGGTGTACATGCACTACAGCTGGGCTGCTGATTTTTCCACTATCTCAGGTATGCCACCTCTAGGCTCTACCTAACCTCATCTCTACCAAACCTGGTCTCATCCCCTTCCCCCTTCAAACCTAGTTTAAAGCAATCAGCCCTACCAGCTCATGGGCTAACATACTTTTTCCCCTTCTAGATGAATCTCATCTATCTCCAGCAGACTTGGTGCCATATAAAATGCCCCATGGCCAAAAACACCAAAATTCCACTGACAGCACCAGTCTTTAAGCCACTTATTGATTGCATCTTTTTGTGTATTCCTTTTCACATTCATCCCTGCTATGGTAGGAATTGATAACACTACCTGTTAGCACCTGAAGTGCTCCTGTCACTTCAACTGGGTGGCTCAGTGCCTTGAAGTCTTTTTTGATTACCCTGGTACTTCTCTTATCGACCTTGTCACTGCTGACCTACACAACCAGCAGTGGGAAATAGTCAGAGGGCCAAATTAGCCCAGGGAGTCTCCTGGTGATATCCCTTTCTCAGGCTCCTACCCGGGGAGGGAGCAGACTTCCCTGTGGGTCTGGCTGGCATACACAGGGTCTTCAATTCCCCTCAGAAGAGAGTCACACACTACAACTACCCTTTCAGCTGTGTGTAAATCATTGCTGTACTACCAGGTGTTACACTTGTGTGGCAAAGTGACATAATCAAATCTTCCAGGAAAGCTGCATCCAGCATTTTTCTTCTTCAACCTGTACAGTTCAATAAACAGAATAGAATAAAACCAAGTCATCAGCCTACCAATATTTTCACTCCAGTGGGCTTTGGATTTCCTTCAGACTACTAAAAGCAAGGAAGAAGCTGATGCAGGAAGGAAACCATTCCCATACCATTAATGAAATCTGGACTCTGTATGAACCAATGTTATCTTAGAATATCTAGTTGTTGAATGTCTAAGCTTAGGAGAGCAGGGTGTTCTGTTTGACTGGTAGCTGCTTCAGCATGACAACAATTCTGACTTGAGCACACAATAGTTATCATAATATAAACATTCAATAAAAATTATATTAAAAAATATTTAGATTTGATTGTTTATTGTGTTGCCTGTGTGTAAAATGACCAGTGTTTTTTCTTCACCTTCCTACTAAAAAAATTGTTAATGCGTAACAATAACTAAGGGCCTACTTAACAAAGCAGACATGATTATTCAGTGAAAATTGACTTTTCTTATTAACAAACCCAAATAAGTACAAGCTCTACTTTGTAAAACAGTCACTTAGTGGTAAGACAAAGGAAGGCAAAGACAGATAGCAAGAATGGGTCCCCATCTATATGCTATTTGGAGTAATAGAGATAATATATATAGGTGTGTATATATTCATGTACATGTATAAAAATATATGGGACTTAACTCCTGAAATCCTGGAGCCTCTGGGCATGAATGGGAAAACAGAAATCTTAATGGTTAGTGGGACCAAGTAATTGAATCCAGTGAAGTACAAGAGATTTTAATGCTGAGGCTTTCCACTGCTCACTGATATATTTCTGATATTATAAACTGCCAGAAACTACAAAAAACCGTTACTACGCCATGTAGTGATTGGTCATATGGAGAGAATTTTCTATATTTTCTATTTTTCAGAGGGTAAAACTGACATTAAAATCAACAAATCTGTATTCTATTCTTTAATCCTTTGAATTACATTTAGAAAATATAATAATATATCAGTCCCAGAAAGGAGTAATAATGGTGTTTAGTTTGCTACACATGAATGATTTCTGCACGTGTACAAGATTCTGATGTGCTTTTGATTTTTCATTCATCTGTAGAAATTTTAGAGCTTTCATTCCACCACTGGTTTCAATTTCAGCAGAAACACAAATAAATTATCTGCCTCTAAAGTTTGAGATATTTTTTAGATTACTTGTGATTAAGTTGCCTTGAATAAAAATTTAGGAGTTTCTTCTCTGAATAAATTAAGGTATGTGACTAGTATGTAAGTTAGAGAAAAGTATTCAAATAAGCACAGGAACAAGAAGAAAAATTCCAAAAGTCTCCAGAGTGTGATATGGACTATAATAATTTTTGTGTTATTTGTGCCTTTAAAATAATATTCTGAAAAAAAACCCCAAGCAATGTTACTTTCAGCAAATGCTTGTTTTACTTGCTAAACTGATAACAGGAGTTTGTGAGGTAATTGGGTTATTTTTCCTGCAGGAGTATAAATACTTATTGCTTTTTGTACTTTATATGCCTGCAAATCGATAATGTAACTTCAAGTATAGGAGTTATTTACTGATTTGAATTCAGATTATCTTGTAACTTACATTCCTATATTTTTAAATAAGTTAACAATTTGTTTAACTTATTTAAACAGACCAAAATTTTGGAAAATTAACATATATATATGTATGTTTTGAACAACAATATGAATTACTTTATGTTGTAAGCAAAGTTTCTGTGTGGAAAACAATTATTTTTCATTGATTTAAATACAGCTTTTAAAGCATATGTATTAAGCATTATTCTTCCATTTAACATACATTCTAGAGTTACATTCAGTTTTTTTAATTTAGCTGTTGATTTCCATTATCAGAAATAGTAATTGACGGTATTAAATTCTGTAGAAGATGGGATTTTAAAAATTTGATATTGATTATCAAATTACATTGGTTTGAATGTGTTATAAGTATTATACTTAGGTATATTCTTAAGCTTTCATTTGAATTTACTTACCATCTGCAAGAGGAATATACATGCAGAATATATTCCTAGATGAAAGCCTGAAGTATTATTCTTTTGTCGTTTGTTTTGCTTTGTTTTAAGCTTATAACAACAAAACAAGTTCAATACCTGAAGCTACCCTTCACAGTTCATTTTTCTTAAAATAAAGGCCAGAAATAATGAGTATACTTCGTCTTGAATTTTAGACAGGGGAGGAGGGGTTTTCTTTCTACTTTTGTGTTGGATTATGTCCTCAGGTATGTTGTTGAATGTTAAATAATACATTGAAAGATGAAGAGCACTAAATAGTGCAGGTTTTTAGGGTATATGTTTTTTTATGCTAAGCAAGAGAGAATTCTTTGAAGAGAAAATTTTAACTGGAAGAAAATAGGTCTCTGCATTAGAGAATTTTTTTTATTTTAGTCAATAAAAACAATTCATTAAGATTTCGTATTAGCTATCATACATACGTACTAGATCAAAAATGCAGGCAACTGTTTGAAAATGCATTATGTATGCATTATCTATTATATATCAACATGTGAACAAACACAGAAAAAGATAATAATTTATTTTTTGCCCTAGTTGAGTTACAAAACACTTGTGGGAGAATTTACCTTCTTTA